AGTATAACTCCTGAAAAGCTTAGAGCTAATACCATATTTAATGGTGAAACACTGAAAGTTTTCTCATTATGGCCAGTTCTATTCAATTGTGTATTGAAAATTGTAGCTAATAAAATAAGTCAGGAATCATAAATAAAAGGTATAAGGTTAGGAAAGAGGGAAACTACACTAGCATGATCTGTAGATGACATGATTACATGTATCTGTATAGAAATTTCTGTTGCATAGGAAATAAAAAGATGCTATGGATAAATTATGAATATAAATAAGTTTAGACAGAATGCCAGTTGCAAAAAGATTAAAATATTTCTGTATATCAGTAGCAAATATCAAATAAAAAATACAGTGGTATAGAAAATTGAGTTTATAACAATAAAGGTAACAAAGATGCAGATCTCTGGCCGGGTGGGGTGGGGGGGAGAAGTGGGGAACAATTTCATTGAGAGACATCAAAGACTAAATGGAGGATATACCATATTCATAGATGAGAAGGCTCACTATTTACAGATGCCAGTTATCTCTCAACTGAGTGTAGAGTCAGTACTATCCTAATCAAAATCCCAATGTGATTATTTTGTAGAATTTGACAAGCTAATTCTAACATTCGTGTGAAAACTTTAAGGGACAACGATTGCAAAAACATTCTTAGGAGATATTTATTAGATATTAGATATTTATTAGATATCTATATTAGATATAGAAATATTACAAAATATATCTATTTTACAGCTGTAGAAATTAAGGCTGTGTGATATTGGCAGAGGACAGACAGGTGGACCAGGGAAACAGACTAGAGAACTGGAAACATATCTGTGTTTCATGTATGGTGGCCTGTGTATCAGTGGGGCATGCTAGTACTCTTAAATAATGGTTCTGAGGAAGCGAGCTCTCAGGTCATACCATTCACAGGATAAACTCCAGGTATCCACATTGGACCCAAATGAGAAAGGAAAGCCATAAAGCTTAAAAAATGATAATAATATAGCAAATTAACTTTTTTTGACCCTAGGGTATGGGAGTATTTTTAAAACTAACTCTAAAGGGTAAGACCGATACATTTGACCATATTGAAGTTAAGAAATACACGCGATACAATAGAAGATACCTATTACACATCTAACCCATGAAAGACGTTGCACATTTACAATAAATCCCTACAAACCATTCGGAAAATGGCAGGCAACTCCGTTAAAAAATGGTTGAAAGACGTGAACAGATTAAAAAATAAATATCCAATGGTTAATGAACACTTCATTAACATCGCTTGTGTGGTATTAGCTAGTACAACTGCTTTGGAAAACGGTTTGGCGTTATCTTCTAAAGCTGAAAATACACACACCAGTGTTTCTGCCTCCAGGAGTATTTTGCACAGAGACAAGCGTACGTGTATATGTGATGTATGCAGGAAGATATGTGCTATTTGTATTACTTGGAGAGTGTCAATGACCCAACTGTCCATGAACACGGAATGGGTAAATGTGTATTCATACACTGGAATACAGTGCAACAATGAATGAGTAAACTTACATACAGTAACGGATTTGAATCCTGTAAACCTTACATTAAGGTTAAGAAAACAAGATACACAAGAATGCACACAGAATGGTTCCATTAATACAAAGTTCAGAACCGGGAAAAACGAAAGTATATTGTTTAGGTTAAGGATGCATACATGGGTGCATAGAACTATGAAGAGAAGCAGGGAAATACATGCAAATAAGGACCCTTGTTTCCTCTGGCAGCAAGAAGGGGTTACGATTCAGAAGGGACACATCCTGGGTGTGGTTACAGAGGTGTTCACTTTATAACCTTCTGTACTTAACCACATGTATGTGTATTTAAGGCACACATATGTTTTATGCCAAAGCAAACAAGTTGTCAACAACAGAGATTGAAAGGTAAAAAACAACTCTTTAAACCTGGGAGAAATTGCCGGGATTTCCTTTCATTGTGGGAGGAAAGCTCTCGGTAAGTGACAAGAAATGTTTTCATTTTATAGGTTTTTAAATTTTCGAGGTAGACTTTATATACAACAAGATGCATAGATCTTGAATGTTGAATCTGAGGAGTTCTGACAGTTATCCACACCCTATACTTGCCACCCCGAACAAACTAGAACATTTCTGTCACCCTGGAGAGCCCTCTTCTTCCCAGTCGGAGGCAACCACCTTCTGATTTCTGCCACCTTCTATTAGTGCTGACCATTCTTGAGCTTCACATAAATTTTAACAACTTACTCAATAATTTTGACAACTTACTCAACTCCTCTGGGCCGCCTTTTCTCCTTTGTGTAAGTGGAGTGTAGTGCCTGCCTCACAGGAATGTAAGAATTAAGTACCATGATATTTATAAAGTGTTTAATCTGATGCATGATGCACAGTACATGTCAGTAGTAACTCTTGTTACAAATAGAACCATTGGTGGATCTCATCAACTCACACCTCAGAGAAGGGTCATTTTGGGGTTGGTCTTTGCTGCATTACAGCAGAACTCTCATAGTGGTTGAAGAGTTTGGGAAAGGACAAGGGACTTTTGCGCCCGGCCCCCTGCCATCTTTTTTAGCCCGTAATCGAAGGCAGAGGGCTGGGCTGTGTTGTTTTGGGACCAGCACACCCCTGGGTAACGTGTGGGCAGTTCCTTCACGCCTGTCATCCACGCGTATCTGGCACGTCACAGAACTATTACGTGACTTTGTGACAAGACCTCTTGTCCCACAAAATAAAACATTAGGGTGATATTTCACTGGTCTTGTGGGAGGTTCATACTGATTTTATTTTGCTACCGGGGAGGCTCACCTTAGAGATGTTATTCTACAGAAAATAATTTTTAAAAATCTGTTATATGTTCTCAAGGAGATCATAATAATGACCAAAATGAATAGAAAAGAAAACAAAATCTGCAGAAAATGAAACGAGGTATCACTTTTGGACTACAGCAGTTAGAAGAATGGGCTATGGAGTAAGAGACTGCCCAGTTATTGCTGCATAACAAATTACCTCCAAAAAGAGTGGTTTAAAACAGAAAATGTTATCTCACAGTTTCTTTGGGTCTGTAATCTGGGCATGACTTAGCTGGGGGTGTCTGCCCTCAGTCTCTCATGATGCTGCAGTCTCATCTGAAGGCTCGAGTAGGCCAAGGTCACCATTCAAGCTTGCTTATTTGCCCGCTCGTGTGGTTGCTGGCAGGATTCCGGTCCTGTCGGGCTGTTGGGTGGACGCCATCCTCAGTTCCTAGCCCCGTGGGCCACCCCGTAGACTAGATCACAACATGGCAGCTGGCTTCCATCCAAAGTGAGCAAGCAATGTAGGGTGAGAAGGGATATGCACAGGCTGTTGGTCCCCTATCTTGGAAATGATCTCCCTTTGCTTTTGCAACATTCTGCTGATCAGAAGCAAGTTGCTAGGTCCAACCCACAGGGAGGAGATTCCACCATGGCATGAATGCCAGAAGTGGGGATTATTGGGACCATTTCATTCATTCATTCATTCGAAGTGCTTATTTTTGAGAGAGAGAGAGACACACAGTGCAAGTGGGGGAGGCACAGAGAGAGGGAGACACAGAATCGGAAGCAGGCTCCAGGCTCTGAGCTGTCAACACAGAGCCCGATGCAGGGCTTGAACCCACGAGAAGTGAGATCATGACCTGAGCCGAAATTGGCCGCTTAACTGACTGAGCCACGCAGGCACCCCTGCTGGGACCACTTTAGAGGCTGCCTCCTTCAATCTGCCCTCTGGCCCCCAATGATTCATGTCACCCCATCCCTGCCACATTCATAATATACTCACCCACTCCCAAGATCCCCAAACATCTTGTTATAGTATCAGCTCCTGAATCTCATCATCCGAATCAGGTCCAGGTGGGGATGAGGCTTTTGAGGACAAATCTGTATCTTCTATTGCTGCATAGCAAATCACCCCCAAAACTGGAAGCTTAAAGCAACAAATTGCCCTATCTCACAGGAGGGAGGGATCACCAGGGGCCATCTTAGAAGCTGGCTATCACCACTGTCTAGATTCACATCCCTATTCTGCCATATACTAGCTGTGTGCTCTTGGGCTAGTCACTTCCCTTTTGTGTGCTTTTGTTTTTGTTTTTTAATTTCTAAAATGAGGCTAATAATATATTCACCTAACAGAGATAATGTTATGATTAAGTAACATAATCTATAAAGTAATTAGCACCTTCCCTGGCAAATAGTAAATGCTGGCCATTTATAATTAATGCCATTAGAATTGTTACTATTTTTCCAAAGAAAAAAACCTGGTAAGCTTTCTCAGAATGATAAGTGAAAAGGTTAACGATGGAAAGACATGGATAGGCCTTGAATACAAAAGGTAGGAATCCAACCTAAAACTGGTAGTGAAGTCCAAGGAGATCAGAGCAAGAATGGTTAAGTTTAAAAAAACAAAACTACTAAAACCAAAGTATTTGCTGAAAGCAGTGATGAAAGTGTTTCCCATGGCTCCTGTACCAGTAGAATATTGCCACAAGGTAGGGATGTGGGGAGATCTGTGTTTAGATCGGGCCCTGTAGGAATAACTGGACCAACCTGCCATCAGATCTGTTCATTTCTAACTGCAGGCCAGTCCGGTTTAGAAAGTGGGAAAGGGAGCCTGTGAGCACATGGTCTATAGAACTGGCACGCAGCTCAGGGGTTCTTGGCTTGCCTGGACCAGCTTTAGGCCTGAGTGGGATGCCCTTCTACGCTGTACTGTGGCCAACTTGCGAGGGAACAGGCCCTGTCTTCCCATCTGTACCAGGTAGGAAACGAAGGGGCCGGTTAGAAGGGATCTGAGAGCACTTTATGCTAAAAATGCCGGATTGGAGGTCAGGGCTATAGGACTTCCCTTTCTGCTGTGCCCTGCAGCATGTGGACAGACTGGGTTGAGTAAACGGTTGAGTTGTGCCCACACTGACATTGGACTCCAGTTGTAAATGGGGTGTGTCACCCCCTGCCTGGCCTCCAGCCCTAATGTGCCTCCTCCTTGTATCTCACGCAGGCCAAGTGCAGGAACATGGAGCATGCGCTGCGGGAGAAAGCCAAGGCCTTCTGGGCTGTGCGGCGCTCCTATGAGGCCATCGCCAAGCATAATCAGGTGAGTGCACTGGCTGAGTGGGGAGATTAGGGACACCTGGGATATGGGGGGAGGGGAGAGGTGAGGGTGGGCCCACCCTGGCTGTGGGTATGGACACAAAATCATCCTTCCCTAACTCTGAGGGTCTAGCACGGTCATGTCCTAGGTTGCTGATTGTGGCTGCACCGCCATGGCCTCTCTAAATAGCTGGGCACAGGCCACGCCAGCAGCCACGGAAGTGGCTTGAAAAACTACCTGTGTCATCTGCACTGTGCTTTCAGTCTAACTTCAACACGTGCTGCACTTGACCATCCAACCCAGCTGCTCAAGCCAACGGTGACCTAGGGCTCTTTAGCTCCTCCTCTTTCCTCTTACTCCCCGGGTCCACTCCATAGCAGTCCTGTCTCCTCTAACTGCAAAATACATCATGTCCACCTGCCGTTCTGTTTCCAGCGTCCTGGCCATGTCTCCGTTGTTTCTCACCTGGCCGTGTACCAGGGCCCCAGCCTTCTGCCCTTCTTCTGCAGTCCGTCTCCATGGAGTGGACTGATGTTTTAGAAGAATACGTTGATTGCGTCACTCCTCTGCTTAAAACTGTTGCGATCACACAGTCCAGACTCCTCACTGTGGCCTTCACGGCCTTCATCCCGCCCTTCCCTGCTCCTCGGTTTCGTCTCCTCCCATGCTTGGCTCCAGCTACATTGGCCTGCCTTCTGACCCTCACGTGAGCTGTCTCCTCCCGGATCTCCCATAAGGGGCACTTTGTCATTAGTATCTCAGCTCAGACGTCCCTTCGGAGAATCGTTCCCTGATCACCCTACCCAAGCAGCCTTCTCCTTTAGTTGCTCTCATATGTCCCCATTTTATGTTCTGCAATTAACTTCCTATTTTTTTTTTTTTTTTTACGTACTCCCATTAGAATGTAACGAAAGCAAGCGCAGTAGTATCTGAGAGGATTCTTGGCACACAGTAGGTGATCAATAAGGGGTTGTAAATTGAATGAGTGAATGGTCTCCCCTCTGTCCCCACTGTCATTGTCTATGCCTGGGCACCCTCTCTTCCTCTGAGTCCTGTGCAGATTGGCAGCCGGGTTTCTGATGGGTTGTCCTGGCTTTGCTCTGTCACCCCCTGGGTGAGTACTTCTACTAAGTACAGCTCAGCTGAGACCTACCTGGCTTGGGCTGCCTGGCACTCCCCTCCCATGCCCATGTGCCCATGGGAGGGGACTAGGCTTGAGAAAGAGCCTCCTTAACATCTGGCCAAGGAGTTTCCCCGAGCCGCAGAGCTGGTGGAATAAGGTAGAAGAAAGGATCGTGAAAGGTGGGTGGCTAGGGCAGTAACGGTAAAGCCGACCTACTCCCAAAGCCAAGCCTTGTCCTCCAGGCACATCCCTCACCCCCTGCAAGCTAATTCCCTCATCTGTGGAAAGAGAGCGGCTTCCTCTTACTAGAATGTTTTTAAACGTTCACTTGAGAGGATACATGTGAAGTGCCCAACAGAAAAGTCCTTCCAACAACTCTTGCATCTTATAGACCATCCAGCTGGATTTGAGAGGCGTTTTCACTGTTGCAGTGAATCATTTTGTCATACCGTCAGAGCCAGAACACACGTTGAGCTTCCAATCCAGACAGGAAGTGACTGGAACCTCCCACCCTGTTCCGATCCAGACAGGAAGTGACTGGAACCTCCTACCCTGTGGTCAGAACACTCGTAGTGAGTTGCTTTTCCCGTGGTCACCGTGGAATCCTGGAGCTCTGCCTCTGTGGCTTGAGCTCCTTTGTGGCCAGCCCCGTCCATTCACGTGGCTGGCCTCGTCGGGACTGCAGTGGAGGTGCCCGGGGCATGTCCGTAGGTCCGGGTGCTAGCACCTGTCTGCCCGTCCCAGGCGCTGTGCAACTCTCGCGTGGCCAGGTGTCAGATTGCAGGACTCCTATGTGATTCATGCTTTCCCCCTGAGTCCAGTCTGTGCAGGCTGATGAGGGAAGTGAAGGCTTTGATGTTTACCCCTTTAAGGCTCCTGATTGCCAGCCGGCAGGGTAGCTAGACTTGACTTTGCACTGGCGGGGTTTTCCTGCCTGCTTTTTTATCTTTCTGTGGGACAGAAATCCTCCTGCATTTCACTGTCTCTCCCACCACGCACAACCCATCTTTTGGGCCTGGTATTTCAGCAGTACCCTCCCATTTGCATGCCTTTGACAGTCAGTTTGTACACCGGCTCACAAGTATAAAGCCATTTGTGTTTCTTCTGTGAACACCAGTTCACGTGCTTTTTTTTTTCCCTTGGAATATTTGCCCTTTTCTCTAGTGGATTCATAGGAGTGCTCTGTATATTAAGAATAACAGTCTGTTATCCGTTGCAAATATTTTTCCTTGCTTGTCATTTCTTTTTCAGTGAAACACTTTTACCTTTTCTGGGTCATTTTCACTTTTTTGGTGAATATTTTGTCACATATTGTCAGAGCCATGAGCATATTATTCATCATGTACTGAACTTTTCAATCTCAAAATGAGATAGTGACCTGCCATTGCTACCGCACACATTTCGAGTTGTTTTTCCAGTGGTCATCTTAGAATTGTATTTTTGTACTTCACTTTATTAGTAGTCTCTTGCCATTTAGAACATGTCATGTTTAGGGCGCCTGGGTGGCTCAGTGGTTAAGCATCTGACTCTTGATCTCAGCTCAGGTCTTGGTGTCAGGGTAATGACTTTAGGCCCCATGTTGAGCTCTGTGCTGGGCATGAAGCCTACTTTAAAAAAAAAAACAACAACTTCTTATTTTTATATCCATTCAATGATCTCCTTTGAGGCTTCTCTGTTTTACTGCTGTACAAAAGGTCTTTTTCATTCCAAGGTGAAAAATATTTCTCTGCTTTTTCTTTGAGTGCATTTATGGGTTTGTTTTAACTTTTAAAAAGCTTTTTGTAGTTACGATTAGGAGTATGTGTATCGTTAATGATTTGGTGGGGTTTTTAAAATTTTTTTTTTTTTTAACGTTTATTTATTTTTGAG